AAAAAAAAAAAAAAATCGTATTGCAAGTTTTAAGGAGCTGTAAATGAGAAATTTGTATCTTCCTTGATCAATTTATAAATAAAATTTTATCACTGTTTGTACATATATGAATTTTTATAATTCTTTTTAAAGAAAAGAACGTTTTTCTCATTTGTTGCATTTTCAGGGGGTAGCGAAAACAGAAGCTTTACGTTTCAAAATAAGATCAAGTAGATTGTTGTGATATATGACTTTTTTAAACAAAGTTTAAAGTATTGATAATTTTTCATTGCAAGGTAACAAAATTGTTCTTGGAAAGTCAGAACATCCTGCGAAACAATACATATTTTGCTTCTTTTTGTATTCTACATGCGAACAATTGATAAAATTAGCTATTCATCATTTATGGATCGTTCATCATTGTATATTCTTGCTTTATTAAATTGATATTATTTTCATGATACCTGGAAGTCTGGTCGTTGTTCCCTGACCTCCTCGAAGCATCGTTTTACACATTCGAAGCTTGGTAACGACGTCGTAGCGTAAACAAGAAGAAACGCATGTGCGGTAGCTATGCTCAACCTTCTCATAGCTGGAAATTGCAAATCTCCTGAAATCGTACACTTGTTCTTCATATTTCCTTATTATAACGAAACGCTGCATGGTGGAAGGAAAGGAGAACATTTACCAGCGGTGTCCAGAAGATCAACTTTGAGAGTCAGCGTACCTAGGACACATTCTCTCGAATAAAGATCTTCGACGGTAGGTCGATATCTTTCGCTGAATCCTTGCCCGAGCAAACGGCGTATAATTGCGCTTTTCCCAACGCCAGCCCCGCCTAATATTACTAATCTGATTCTTTCGTGATCGGCCATTTTACGAGAACGTCCCTCTAAATTGATTTCCAGATGGTACAGAAGTATGAATGCAAATACAAGTGAATGAATGAAACAAATGTGCGAGTTCAAAAACTCGCCATTGGCAAACTTTGTACTGTTCTTGTTTTTGCTCCTCCTCTTCGTTAGTCCCTTGTTCCTTTTCCTCTGTTTTGATAATATTTACGCAGCGTATTAAATACGGTTCAAATTGATTTCATTGAATTCTCCCTCGTAAGTGTACACGTTTTACGTAACATTCCAATCTCAGCTAGAAACAAAATTTTTATTTTACTTAAATAACGAAATTTATTTGATTTTAGTTAAATTAAGGAAGGGGATAAGACGATTATTGATCAGAAAGGTTTTAATAAATATGAAAAGTTTATTCAAATCTCAAAATGCAAAATGTACGGAAAAATGTATCATATTTTGCGTGGAAAAAAAAACAAAACCTAACCTAACCTAAACCTAAACCAAACCCAAACCTAACCTAACCTAACCTAACCTAACCTAACCTAAACCAAACCTAAACCTAACCTAAACCAACTACAAGGAAGTGATTCTACATGTAAAGATGTGTTGAAAAGAAAGAATGAAATTTCTTTCATTAAAATTTTCTTCCCAAGAAAATTGAGTTCGAAAATTTTCCGGCTATTCTTTGAATTTGATTAATTCCATACTGGACAGATGCGAATAATTGACACGAAGGTATTCTACGCGCAAAAATAAATAAAAAATATAGAATGAAATTTGTTCCGTTTTCAAGAAAATAAACTTTGAATGCGTTTTGTTAGAAATGATCTTAAGTATATGTATGCTTGATAAATTTTCAAACTCGATTTCCTCGAGAAGAAGCGTCTTATAGAAAAATTTTGTTCTTTTTGTTGTTTTTTATTTAGTCTTACACGTAGAATAACTTCCTGTTGTTCTTAAAATTTATTCATATAATATTATATGATATATAATATTATTCTATTATATATAATATCTTAATATTTATATAATATATAAAAAATATTAAAAATTATTCTTTTTTGTCACGTCTAGAATCAGTTAAATCCAAATATACCCGATAAATTTTACTCAATTT